TCTGTCAAAAGTTATTCAACAAACATTCACTCGTTTTTTTATTGAAACTGGCAGTAGTTTACAGTTAAGACGACCTATTGACTAAAGTAATTGATTTCCCTGTAGATGTCTCTAATATCTATTGAACCTCTCTAGTCTAATTGTCTGAGTTATAATCTATAAATGGCTGCAATTACTCATTGTTACTTTCTTCCAATATATTGTTTGATTATTATTCTTTATCATTCTGTATAAGAAGATTGTATTGAGCTTTTCTTAGAAAAAATGAGTAGTCGATCACGAAATACTGGTAACCGTCGTGCAATATCACCAAATGTTGATGTGATGTATTCACTCAAAGTTGATAATTTAACATATCGTACACGTGTCGAAGATTTACGACGATGTTTTGAAAAATTTGGTCCTATTGGTGATATCTATATTCCACGAGATCAATTTTCACGATCAAGTCGTGGTTATGCTTTTGTTCGGTATGTTTATCAATTTATTATGAATATTTGTTGTTTATTTATTTATTTTTATTCTTTTTTATTTTCTCAAGTTTTAGTAAAAAACGAGATGCACAAGATGCACTTGATCGTATGGATGGTACTAATCTTGATGGACGTGAAATACGTGTACAATTTGCTCGTTATGGTCGTGCATCAGCTTCTGATAGTCGACAAAAAGCTCGTCATCGGCGGTAAGCTCATAAGAAAAATTATATAGAAGAAAGAAAAAAACTATTTTTTTGTTTTTTTTATTTGAAAAAATTATCCCATCCTATTTATTTTTGTTTGTCTTCCCATAAGATTAGAATAAACACAAAATTGTTTATCTCTGTTCACACAGGTATTCTTCTGCACAAAGATGCTGTTTCCAGAATGTCTAGAAATCGACATGTTCGATAAAATAAAAAATATTGGTTTATCCCGGTGTTTTATATGCTGCATTTTTGATTTCATTCATTCAAACTAAACAGAGCGAGACTGCAGTTATATTCCAGTTGATTGAACACAGATCAGATGTAAGATATACATATATGTTTCGTCGATTAGGCTACTTTTTCTTTTTTACTTTTGATCAAAGTAACAAGTCTGCATATTATTTTTTTTCTTTTTTTTTTTTTTTGAAAAGAAATAAATTTATTGTTAATATAATCAATAGAAAAAATGAAATATTTTAATATTTAAACTTAGAACACGTTCACGATCAAGATCTCGACGCCGTTCAAAACATCGATCACGAAGTAGTAGTCATCATCGACAGTATGTTGAAAGAAACTTATTGCGAAAATAAAGTTTTTAAAAAAAAATTTTATTGATTTTAGTTCACGATCTCGATCACCACGCCGTTCAAAATCAAGATCAACGTAAGGTTTCTTTTAAATTATATATATACAAAGCTTTGAAATCTATATAAAATTAAAATCGAAGTAAAACTTTGATATCTAATTGTTACATTTTACGGAGCAAACGATTTTAACTTAAATCGATTCTAACAAAATAAAGTCATGATCGAGAGAACGATGCTATATAAAATAAATATCACATCGTAATAATTATGCATGTCCTGTTTTTTATGAATAGCAGAGAAGTTTCACAATTCTAGTCTACTTGATGACCAGAATCTTCGTCGCTCAGGAATAAGAGACTTTTGTGTACCATCCATAGGCTTTCAGTGCTCCTTCAAGATTCTTTAAGACTGACATGTCATGGCGACGAATCGTTCTAAAACTAGAGTCTGCGAGTGCAAAATTATTGAATCCGGCCGAAACACGCATTAATATTTTATTGGAATTCTCTAAACGGAATAGGATAATCGCTCCAATGATACGAGATACTTTATTTCTTTTTTATTTGTATTTGATGACTAGTCTACTCTACACAGTCTTATGATAATTAAATTATAAATTTGTTCACCCTTTTCGAAAATGTTCCATTGGGTCGGCTCGACCGGGTCCAAGTTCGGCACCAACCTGAAAAGCTCTAGGTGCTACTGACTACTTTGTTATTGATAAACTAACTTTAAGCTTATTTTTTTATAGTAGAAAAGTAGCGCTTCACATAAAAATCTATTGAAACTGTTCACTTATCAGCTAGTTCAATCGAACTGTAGTACCTAATCATGAACTTTTAGTTATTTTTTTTTTCCTACATGGAATATTAGCATTAACTGATTAAGAAAATGATGCAGACATATTCTAAAAAAGAAATATTTTTTTTCTTGATTTGAGTTGTAGACTAAAATTAATTTTGATTTAGTATCATAAAATTCTATACTGTTACGTAGTCATTGGCAGTTGAATAGAAATTTTTTTGATGATTTTTTTTCCTATCGATTTATTCTTCAAAGAATGAAGAAAAATTCAGAACATCAGATGCTATTTGCTGTAAAATTTCGTCTTTTTAAATGGACGTTTCATGTTTAGATAACTTGTTGTTTTTGTCAGTTTTTTATTGATCTCTATACAAAAAGAACAAACTTTTACATCTATTTCTTTGTTATATGTCTAAAAGACTAATGATATTCATTGATTAATTTTAGTTCAAAACAAAACAATCGTACTGAAAATGGTGAACGTGATCAACGACAAGAAAAAAAATAAAAATCAATTTTCATGTTGAATTTAATTTGATTAAGAAAAATTGTTTTCTTTTTCTGTTTCTTTTACAGCTATATGACTACATATATAACTCATTTTCATTGATTTATAAATAAACATAATTGATATTGCAGATTAAAAAAAAAAAAGAAACACTTTTACTTACATTTATGTTAACAACAACGGATCAGGTGTGAAAAATGAATTTATATGATTATGTGTATTATATCAATTTCGATTATTTAGCAAAAGAAATGTCGAGAAGATGTAGAAGCCGTAGAAAATTTTTCTAAACGATATTATGATATCTTTGATACACGAAGACATGTAAGATTTGTTTTTCTTTTTTTTTTTTTATATACCAATAACAAATATATCTTGTTTTTTTGTTATTTTTTGTGAAGGATATTGATAAATTCTATCAAGCACAAGCTAAATTAGTTTGGAATGGAAATGAATTCAATGGACAAAGTGACATTGCAAAACATCTCGTTTCATTACCAGCAACACGTCATCATATTTATGCACTTGATTATTTTCCAATGAATGGTAAAAAAACAAAACAACATAATATTTTTGTAGATTAATTACTATTGTGCTTTTTGTTTTTGTTTTAGATTTATTTCCAAATGAAACAAAAACATATCAAGTATTTGTTAGTGGTGCTGTCATCTATGGTCCACCTGAAAGTACATCAGTTTCAAAAGAAAAACGTCTTTTTTCACATATATTTGTATTAACTGTTGATGTTAATTCATCAATATGGGTTATTGCTAATGAATGTTTTCGTTTTCATGAATAAATTATATAGCAGTTTATTCAATGTAGTTGGTATTGCTAATCACAGAGAAATTGTTTTCTTTTATCTGTATTGAAATATATTTCTTGATGATTATTTTTCTATCTGACATAATCTGTTAAAATGAGAATTTGTTTGTTCATAGAAATATAAACTTGTTGTACTCAAAAAAAAAAAGATTGATGAGAAGACCTTTTGCGATGAAAAGTTTCGTGAGATGGATCCTTAAACTAGACTCGTGTGAAAAACCATTTGGTTCTAAAAATAAACAGATGATGCATCACTCTATGCAGATTTTCACATTGACTCCCAACATATCTTTATTTTGCGGTCTAAGTGCTTGCGTAAAAAAAACAAATTGTGAAAAATGGTTGAAATTGAAGATTTTTAGAAAACATTCCCACATCGTTCGGAAGTGTCTCCACATCTTTGCGCTAGCTGAGTGCATATATAAGATATAAGAAACATTTTTGGAAAGTTTCGTCAATATCAAGTTAGTGGAAAAAAGCAGTGACTAAGTTTACTGAAAGTATCTTTTCGAAAAGCGAATAATATTTTTTTTCTTTTTGAAACGAAAACTTTTCTTATAAATCGATAGAGCAGAAGTTCTGGCTTGAGACTATATATATGGCTTATTGTTCAACTCTTTTGAGTTTTCATAACAAATTGATGTTGTTCTTTAAAGGTGTTGAAATTTGACTTTTTTGGCGACTAAGCTGTTGCAATGAATTAGCAGCTAGAACAAACGCTCTTTTTACCAAAACACTGATCGTTTATCAAAGTGTATACGTTACTATTCCAATCTCGAAGAGTCTCGCTTTCATCTGTTTAGGGGAAGGTAGTAAAGTATGCATCTAGACGAACTTTGGGTAATAAAACCACATTTAATTTTTCCTTGAGTCAAATAATAGTAAGTATACTTCAAAACATGTCATCTCCATTGACAAAAAAGTTTTTGTTAAACATGCCAAATGAGATTGAAAAGCAAGTTTTTTGTGCAAGATTCAGCCGATGAGTAGATAAAAGTAGCGTATATTAAGATCTATCTCTGTGTTCTTTATGAATTCGTAAAAAAAAAATTAATTTCAGCCTATAAATATTTAAGAAAAGCGAACGTATTTCTGCAGTGATTTTTCGAATGGCTGACCTTAGTAAAATGAGAACACCATCATTAGCTATGACCATGATCTGATGAAATTTCATCAAAATATTTGTCTATCTAAGCTCTATCAACATAGGTAGTACAAATATTCTTGAATTTATCTCTAGGTTTTTCAAGAAACCATAATTTTCTAGATAGTTATCATTTTTTCCGCTCCAAAAAATAGTATTATTGCACAACAATGGCAAATTCTGAGGCAGTGCGTCAAATTACATCAGATGATTTGTAACACAAGACGTTTTCTAACCAAAAAATGTTCTTGAAAACTTGTAGATAAGCAATTTTCTCAAGTGTTTTTCGCTTAAAAATGCTTGTTTTATATAAAAGTTATTTGTTAGAATGATATACAATCACTTCTGAGCAAAAAAAAAGGCGTTTCTGTGAACAAAAGTAATATGTCTATCTACAGAAGTTCACAATATATAAAAATGTAACAAAAATTAAACCTATTTATTCTAAACAGATAGTAGTTTATTTATATCTGTTTCGATTTCACTTGAATGTTTAAATATTGTCCAACGTTCTTTTGGTATGTTTTCAAATGCTTTTTTATATCTTTCTTCACATGTTGATAAACATATAGGCGTTCGACAAATATCACGAATAAATATATGAACAATTGATTGAGGATATTTTGTGTATAATTTGGAATAAATTTCAGGATCAAGTTCACCTAAAAGAAAGATTTTATGTGTAATTCATTTTTTGAACCAATAGAGATCGAACAAACCTGAATCACCAACACATATATATTTTCTTAGAGGATATGCATCAATCATTTCTGAAATTGTTTCAATTTTATATGTATCAGCTGGCTTAAAAAATTTCAAACCCCATGTAAATTTTCTTAGATTCATTGTTCCCATTGGAAAGTTATATTTTGCCATAAAACAACGAAGAGCAGGATATCTAAAAGTATATATATTAAATCTTTTCCTTTGTTTTTCATTTCAAATACAATATTCAATATTTACAATTGCCATGGGCTGGCACTAACATAATGAAACTGACATTTTTGTTCATGCCATTTTTGATAAAGATTATTCATACCTTCAATTGGTTTAAAATAACTATAAAAAGTATGCTTTAATAGTAATGTTTTACTAAGTACATTAGAAACTTTAATTGTGTCATCAATATCTGATATAACACTTATGCCATTAGGAGCAAGAACATAAATTGTACATTGAAATATTTTATAATTATCATCTTTATCGATTTTTTTATCTGTCTTTTGTGTTTCATCAATTTTCATTTGATATTCAAATTTTCTATCTTGACAATCCGAATGAGTTGTTGTAGAAAGTGATTGAATTTCGTCATCTGAAAGCTCAAGACGTTCTTCAATGAAACCACTTTCATCTGATGGTTGAAGTAAATGTTCAACACCATTTATAATTGATTTTGTTATTATTTTAACAGAATTTCCGGCAAAAAACAAACCCAATCGACCAGGATTTTCATCTGGTTGACCTAATTCTTCTTCTATTATATAGAGACTTTTAGTTTATAATTGAAAAAAACAAATCAAGAAAGAAATACAAAAATACATACGCAAAGCTTCTTCATACAAATCATCATCTGGATCGATTCCTTCATCACTGGATCCATCTTTGTCCTTTGCTTGATCATTTTCTGCATTAGCAGCAGCCGCTGCATCCTTTTTATCTTTATCAACTTTAACATCAGTTGTGGATTGAGACTCTTTAGCTATTTTATTGTCATCTTCTTCATTAAAAACTGTTCTTTTTGTTTTATTTTCATCATTGATATTAATAGATTCTTCGATGTTTTCTTTATTCTTTGTTTTATTAGTTTTACTACCAGTTAAAAAACTTGGTAGTGATGGAAGATAACTTGTTAATAATTTTGTTTGTAATGGTAAATATATCCAAGCTTTAATATGTACTGACCAAATATGTTTATTGGGATCAAATATAGCTAATGTTGGAAATGGTACAATGAGTTCGTCATCAGCATAAACATGATCAGACGACCATTGAGCTATATAATCTTTTGCTGATGCAAGTGCAGTTACATACTTTCGTAAATATGAGGTCATAGAGTGCAAATGGAACTATCAAAACACGTATATTATACTATTGCAGGCATGTGAAGAGATGACGATGAAAAAACGACGAACCCTTCAAAGATTGTTTTTTTCTTTCTCCATGCATCGATTCCTTAAGTTTATAACCAACAGACAACAATAGTAAAGTATGTAGAGATAAGACCAAAAGATGGAGAGAGTAGACTATGTATCGTTAGTCGATGTTTGCTCGTTTACGATAAACGGCTTTTTTTCGCGATAAGATCATAGTTGTGTATATTCATTTCGATTAATAATTATTATAAATTCATAACCATACACAATGATTGTTAGCATCAAAATAAATAAATACAAGCCGAACATATTCAATAAGCGGAATTGGAATTGTGGACAATATCATCGCCTTCAAAACAAAAACTCTTAAGTCTGTATAAAAAGAAACTTAAAAAATTCAGTGTTCTTTTTCGCTTACATGCAAATAGGTGTAAATTGAATGTTCAAATGAACTGCTATTAATAAAACTAATAGATTTTCTGATTTTTTAAAAGACACTAGTTTGTTCTTCGATTAAATATATATCATTTATGTTTGAGCCTTATATACTATTTTTGTCTTCTTGAGCATTTTCTACAAGAAACCCAATATTGTCATATGGACTTATTCAAGAATTAATCAGAATTTAAAAAAACAATAATGAAAGGTATTTTACCATATACAAGCATTTTATTTTTTCACACAAATGTGAATCATATAGTCTCAAGTTGCAATGCTCTATCAAATAATTTTATCGATAAAGAAAAATATTTACCAAACAGCGAACCTCTATTTTTTTCTCTTACTTTACTCGCTGCCTTGAAATGAATAGTTTTCTTGATGTTATGAAGGTTTTTCTTTCTTGTTCTTTTCAATTGACTCACTAGCTTATTCACAATGGTGACATGAATCTCCATGTGCAAGCCTTCTACTCGTTTAGTCAAACAAAAACAATAAAGAAATATATTCATAGT